AACCGTGTCTCTACTAAAAATACAAAAAATTAGCCAGGCATGGTGGCATGCACCTGTAGTCCCAACTACTCAGGAGGCTGAAGCAGGAGAACTGCTTGAATCTGGGAGATGGAGGTTGCAGTGAGCTGAGATCACACCACTGCACTCCAGCCTGGATGACAGAGGGAGATTCCATCTCAAAAAAAAAAAGACAACAGTTTAGTATTTATTATTTATCAAATTAGTAAAAAATAATAATGTATCAGTTATTGTCATGTATAGAAGAAAATGAGCCTTCTCACAAATAGGTAGTGGGAAGATAAATTTTATACAACTTTTAGGCAATCTTTTTGTGTTTTAGAATCTTTGCCTACATTTTGATCCGGCAAGTCTACTTCCAGGAATTTATCATAAAGAAATAATCATGACCAGGCACAGTGGCTCGTGCCTGTAATCCCAGAACTTTGGGAGGCCAAGGTGGGTGGACTGCCTGAGTTCAGTTCCTGACCAGCCTGGACAACACAGTGAAACCTCATCTCTACTAAAATACAAAAAAATCAGCCGGGCGTGGCAGTGTGTGCCTGTAGTCCCAGCTACTCAGGAGGCTGAGGCAGGAGAATTGCTTGAACCTAGGAGGTGGAGGTTGCAGTGATCAGAGATCATGCCACTGCACTCCAGCCTGGGTGACAGAGCAAGACTCCATCTCAAAATAAAAAAATAAAAATCATGACTATGCATAAAGATATAACTACAACGATTAACATCATAGTACTGCCAGCAATGATAAATGATTGAAAATAATCTAAGTTTCCAACAATAGGAGATTCATTAAATAGATTATGGTATAGCCGTATGGTGTGATGATATATACCCATTAAGATAACATAATAGAAAAAGTAGTTTTAAAAGTTTAAAACATGTAAAAGTACTCTTAAAGGTATCTTTTTTAAAATTTTATTTTATCTTAATATATCTATACATCCTCCCCAAAAAGAGAGACTGGAATTGTATACACCAAGTGATAAAGTCTAAATGATAGAATCATGATTTTTAATTTCTTAATATTTCTTTTTTGTGTTTTCTAAAAATTCTAAAATTAGTATTAAGCAAATATTTCAGAAGCTACTTCAATATTTTTCCCTGAAGTCTCTCTCATAGCTACAGTTTCAAATTGAAATTGCAGATATGACAGAACTTTGAACGTAGGATAATAATCTGGTTCACCTCTAATTTGCAAGATTGTATACATGTTCCAATAGTATATACATAGAGGCGTGAAAAGATCAAAGACTCTCAAAGATGTCAGCATGAAAAATATACATCTTTGTGCAGATTTGAACTTCTATATTTATAAAAAGAACAAAAAAAAATGACTACAGATAAGAGATGATAGGCCAGGCGCAGTGGCTGATGCCTGTAATCCCAGCACTTTGGGAGGCCAAGGTAGGCGGATCACGAGGTCAAGAGATCAAGACCATCCTGGCCAACATGGTAAAACCCCATCTCTACTAAAAAATACAAAAATTAGCTGGGCATGGTAGCACGTGCCTGGAGTCCTGGCTACTTGGAAAGCTGAGGCAGGAGAATTGCTTGAGCTTGAGAGGCAGAGGTTGCAGTGAGCTGAGATGGAGCCACTGCACCAGCGCTTGGTGACAGAGCGAGACTCTGTCTCAAAAAAAAAGAAGAGATAATAGAACATTTAAAGCTAGAGCCTTGTTGATTTCTTTTTTTCTGTATAAATATTAGCTGAATAAGTAAGCTGCTCAGTAAAGCCTCCGACCAGGGGAAATTTCCCATAATTTTACAGCAGAATCCAGGCCTGGGAAGTCTCATTTATCCGCATTTTTCCTACATTCCTTGCCCATCCTGTCCCTCCCTCACTTCCATTTCTTCTAGAAGTGACCAAAGTTAGGGTAGCCTCTTGTCAGGTACCCGTCACTGCTGGCATGGGAGGAGAAACAGATTTAAAGCCACTTGGTTAGCACAGGTCCTCTGAGCTACGCTGAATGTCTGTCATGAGAGAGTTGCTCCATCACCTGCCTGTCCCTTCCCTTATTCCACTGTGTGCATGCTTTGCTAAAGCAGATGGTTTTGCTTTACCCAGTGTGACCTCTGACCTCTCTTGCATATCTCTAGACTGCAGTGGACCCTATCAGTCAACTTGTCTTAGCCGGAGCAGGAAGAGGACATGGGGCATGATTTGAGGGAACACCATTCACAGCATCCCCAGGAATTGATTTGACAAAGTATAGGCACAGTCTCAGGGGAAGGCATTTTCTTACCTTTGTTCATTTTCTCTGTTTGTGTCCTTATGAATGTGATGCTTCCACTCCAGGCCGGTTGGTTTATTTACCTGGGGAACAGTGTAAGGTGACTCCAGGTGGGCCATCAGAAATTATTAAAGCGGTAGGTGTTCGAGGGAAATCCCAGACCTATTTTGGGCTTAATGCCAGGATCCCAGAATTCGAGGTCTAAAATCTGTCCCACTGTACTGTGATTCTACACACAGATGGAAAGCGGTATAAACAAATCAACAAACCTGGGTCCTAGAGGTTGAGAAAAGAAGAAATGATCTTCATTAAATCCTTGTCATCCATAACATCATGGCATAACCTTCATTTCCTTTTGCATTTCCCATTACTCTCTTTGTGACAAGTGAATTCTAATAGGCATTGAACATATCCATTTGCCACATAGGCAGGTTTGTACGTGTTCTACACAAAGTGGAGGGAAGGGACCTTTCTGAGCCTGGAGTCAGCTTACCCTGCTCCATCAGTGTCAAAGAGAAAGCCAAACAGACTCGCAAAAAGTTGGCTCCTGCCACAGGGTTCCTCAGGAGTACAGACAGACAAGCAGCAAGGCTCCTGGATCTGAGAACTGCCCTTTTCCACCAATGTCAAACACGTTTCACAGCTGACCTGCCAAGAATGTGGATCCCGCTTCAAGATACACAGTCTGAGACAGCACACAGCAGCCAAAAGAGGGAATCTCCATTTAGCCTGAATTCTAGTCTATCCCTACAGATGGACACTGTGTATATGGACTGGCAAGTGTCCCAGCCCTTGGCTCTGCTCTAAAAGTTCAGGACTACTTCACAAGTAGATTGAAGAGATAAAGCAACTCCTCCAAATATGCCTTTGTTTTCCCTGGGGATTTGTAAAGTGCAGTTGATGGAGATTCGCAGGGTCAGACCTTTATGAGCGATTTGACTGGGACAGGTCCCGCGGCAATTCCATCTCCACGACAGAGTCCAGAGGCACGCACTCTATGACACTTTCCCTGGACTTAGAGTGTTTAAACTCCACCACACTGATCATTGTCTTTTCTCTGTGTGGATGGCCTCTAGGTCTGTTAGGTCAAAAGCGAAGACAGTGTGGCTTTAAGAGAGAGCACTGTACCAGGAGTAAAGAAATCGGGGTGCAGGTCCTAATTTCACCACTGATTTTTTTCTGTGATCTTACTTACTATCTTTTGACCTTACTTAGCCCTATTCTCATATCTTAAAATGAGGAGAAATGAAGGATATAGATGAAGCTAGAAACCATCATCTCCAGCAAACTAACAGAGGAACAGAAGAAAAAACACCACACGTTCTCACTCATTAGGAGGAGTTGAACACTAGAACACATGGACACAGGGAGGGGAACATCACACACTGGGGCCTGTTGAGGGGTGGGGGTGAAGGGGAAGGAGAGCATTAGGACAAACACCTAATGCATGTGGAGCTTAAAACCTAAATGATGGGTTGATAGGTGCAGCAAACCACCATGGCACATGCATACCTATGTAACAACCTGCACGTCCAGCACGTGTATCCCAGAACTTAAGGTAAAATTAACAAAAAGAAACAAAGATTCATAATAAAAGAAAATGAGGAGGAAGGAAGATAGCCTTGAACTAGAGGTTCTATGCAGACTTCACATTCTATGATTTTTTTCCTGCCCAAATACCCCCAAATATCTGATCCTATCAGGAGAGTGGTAAAAATATCTGTAATTCTCAAGCTGGGCAGAAGGCCCTTTGCAGAAAACATAACCAAATCTTGTGTAGCTATTAGCAGAAAGTAGCCTGGGAAGTAGCACTGAAGGGTGGAAACAATAGTCCTCTATCTCTCCCAGGGTTCCATGGTGCCTCTATACTTCCAAACTAGAATATCTGCCAAAAAGAGCTTCTAAGAGAAGTAAGCTCAAGCCTCGCAAAGCTCACTTTTGCAAGACTTATACCTTACAATTCCCATCACTGGGCTTTCATGCATTAGATTTACAAATCTGGAAGCCCCTACCACTTCCTCCACAAATTAAACAACATAAATAGCATGCCTACTCGTGAAAAGAAAATTCATACCTGTATTAGAAATCCAGAAAAAAAGATACCAAACATACATACAAGAATAAAAATATGCTAGGAAAACACTATCTATTACATTTCAAAATCACAATGAAATTGATCATTTTATTTTTTTTAATTACCCAAAACTCTGACATTTAGAAGATGTAGAAGACCTTTATAGAAATGAAATCTTAAATTTTTTTTTTCATTTTTAAGGTGTGCACTTTATTCAACTGGTCTCAAGTCAGTGTACAGGTAAGCCCTGGCTGCCTCCACCCACTCCCAGGGAGACCAAAAGCCTTCATACATCTCGAGGGACAAAAAAGGGATAGCCAGAGGCTAAAATCTTTCAAAATAAAAATAGTATTAAGGCGAAATTTAAAAATATTTTCATTACATAATTTACAACAAAAGCAATGCTGTTACCTCCCCTGTGTGGACTTGGGAGAGGACTGGGCCATTCTCCTTAGAGAGAAATGGGGTGGCTTTTGGGAGGGCAAGGGACTTCCTGTAACAATGCATCTCACAATATTTGGAATGACTTAAAAAAAACAATGTACACAATCAAGCCCTCAGCCACATTGTAGAACTTTGGGGGATGCTCGCTCCAACCGACTGCTGTCACCTTCACCGTTCCAGTTTTTAAATCCTGGGTCAAGCCAAAAAAAAAACAAAACAAAACAAAAAACAAATAAAGCCATGCCAATCTCATCTTGTTTTCTGCGCAAGTTAGGTTTTGTCAAGAAAGGGTGTAACGCAACTAAGTCACAGTCCGCCTAGAAGCATTTGCAGTGGACGACGGAGGGGCCGGACTCATCATACTCCTGCTTGCTGATCCACATCTGCTGGAAGGTGGACAGCGAGGCCAGGATGGAGCCAGCGATCCACACAGAGTACTTGCGCTCGGGAGGAGCAATGATCTTGATCTTCATTGTGCTGGGTGCCAGGGCGGTGATCTCCTTCTGCATCCTGTCAGCGATGCCAGGGTACATGGTGGTACCACCAGACAGCACTGTGTTGGCATACAGGTCTTTGCGGATGTCCACGTCACATTTCATGATGGAGTTAAAGGTAGTTTCGTGGATGCCACAAGATTCCATGCCCAGGAAAGAAGGCTGGAAGAGTGCCTCAGGGCAGCGGAACCGCTCGTTGCCGATGGTGATGACCTGACCATTGGGCAGCTCATAGCTCTTCTCCAGGGAGGAGCTGGAGGCCGCCATGGCCATCTCCTGCTCGAAGTCCAGGGCGACGTAGCACAGCTTCTCCTTGATGTCACACATGATTTCCCGCTCAGCTGTGGTGGTGAAGCTGTAGCCGCGCTCGGTGAGGATCTTCATGAGGTAGTCAGTCAGGTCCCGGACAGCCAGGTCCAGACGCAGGATGGCGTGGGGGAGGACATACCCTCATAGATGGGCACAGTGTGGGTGACCCCGTCACCGGAGTCCATCACGATGCCAGTGGTATGGCCAGAGGCGTACAAGGAAAGCACAGCCTGGAATGGCCACATACATGGCTGGGGTGTTGAAGGTCTCAAACATGATCTGGGTCATCTTCTCACGGTTGGCCTTGGGGTTCAGGGGGACCTCAGTAAGCAGCACGGGGTGCTCCTCAGGAGCCACATGCAGCTCGTTGTAAAAAGTGTGGTGCCAGATCTTCTCCATGTCGTCCCAGTTGGTGACAATGCCATGCTCGATGGGATACTTCAGGGTCAGGATGCCTCTCTTGCTCTGGGCCTCCTCACCCACGTAGGAGTCCTTCTGACCCATGCCCACCATCACGCCCTGGTGCCTGGGGCACCCCACGATAGAGGGGAAGACGGTCCGGGGAGCATCGTCGCCCGCGAAGCTGGCCTTGCACATGCCGGAGCCTTTGTCGACAAGTGCAGCGATATCATCATCCATGGTGAGCTGGTGGCGGGTGTGGACGGGCGACGGAACGGCAAGGGCGAGGCTCTGTGCTCGCGGGGCAGACGCGGTCTCGGCGGTCTTACTTTTTTTTTTTTTTTAAGAGACAGTGTCTCGCTATGTCAACCAGGCTGGAGTGCAGAGGCAAGATGATAGTTCACTGCAGCCTTAATTCCTGGGCTGAAGCAATCCTCCTGCTTCAGCCTCCCTAAGGTCTGGGATTATAGGTTTGAGCCATCAAACCCACAGCAGAAATCATGAAAAAATTTTTAAAAGGTTTTTAAAATTTTACTTCCAAAAAGACTTCAGGCCCAAATGGTGTTATGAATGAATTATCCAGAACTTTCATGCAAACAAACAAACAAAATTTCCAAGTCATTTTAAAGGATGGAATTAGAAATTACAGATCATCTAGTGGCTCAGTTCCAATGAATAGAGAAGAAAAGAATAAAAATGTGACTTTCTAATGAAGAGACCTTGCCAACATTACCTTAACTAAGTGAACAAGTTTCCCTCTGATACGATGTAATGAGAAGGGCATTTCATATCTATGGCTGTATTCCCAAAAATCCATTGCTTCAATCAAATTAGGAGAAAGATACATCAGACACACTCAGACTGGGGTACAATCTACAGGATGCCCAGCCGGTACTCTTCAAAATGCTCAAGGTCACTAAAAACAAGAAGAGACTGAGAAACTCACAGACCACAGAAGCCTGGGAAGACATGAAAACTAAATGTCATGTGGTGTCCTGAACTAGATCCTGGAATAGAAAGAAAACATTAATAGAAAATCATTGAAATCCAAATAAAGTCTGGCGTTAATTTAATAGTAATGGAGCAATGTCTGTTTTTCAGTTTTAACAAATGTACCACAGTAACATACAAAACTGGGTGAGGGGTATCCAGGAATTCTTTATACTATCTTTACAATTTTTATGTGCATCTAAAACTATTTCAAAATTAAAAATATAAGTAAAAAGTTAAGAGGGAAAATGTTTATGATAATCTCAATAGATACAGGGGAGATATAAGACAAATAATAAAATAAAATTTATAGTCTGTGGCCTAGATGCTTATAGGATCTGTGGGGTGTGTCTATGCTTTAAGAAGCTCCCATCCATGATTTCAGGGGAAGCTGATAAGCTGGAGGCATGGCGTTCTACCTAAGGTTAAGAAGATAAAAGTAGCATTTGAGTTTCCCCTATGAAAAATGAAAACTTCAGGAAATTGGACCAAAACCAGGCTCCAAGTTAGGGATCCAACACTTAGCTTCTTATAGTGAGTGTTCTCTTTTATTTTTAGTTCCTCTGTAAATTTTCATCAAGGCAAATCCTAAAACCATTGTATGAAAAGTTTAGGATTTCTGGTACCTTCACATCAAAGCCAGTATCTTGTTTAAACAACCTCTATAAAACATGCCCAATTTCAGCCAGGCGTGGTGGCTCATGCCTGTAATCCCAGTACTTTGGGAGGCTGAGGAGGGTGGATCACCAGGTCAAGAGATTGAGACTAGCTTGGCCAACATGATGAAAGCCCATCCCTACTAAAAATACAAAAATTAGCTGGGTGTGGTGGCGCATGCCTGTACTCCCAGCTACTCGGGAAGCTGAGGCAGGAGAATTGCTTGAACCTGGGAGACAGAGGTTGCAGTGAACCGAGATCTCACCACTGCACTCCAGCCTGGCAACAGAGCAAGACTCATCTATTAAAAAAAAAAAAATTTTTCAGGACTCCTCCCCTGACCCCATGTATACCTTTGATAGAATCAGCTGGATATAATCTCTAACCTGTCCTCTCCCATGCACATACCTGGCAGTAGAGGCTCTCTTTAACATGACCCACTTTATTCTCTTAGCTGACCACCTAATCCCATAAATTAGAGCCAACTCGTTTTTCACTACAACCTTTAGTCAGTAAGAAATTACTTAGTTGCTGCATTTCTACCTGAAACCCACATTTTGATTCAGCACATGTAGGCAAATGTCAGAATTTTAAAAAGTGACTTTAAAATAAGCAAAAATGTTCACTGGCTATCCTTTCAATCAAACACTAGGTACATCCTTCTGAGTTCCTTGATTCCACAAAGATCTGTGCCTTGATGCCACTGAGCGATTTTACTGCTATGTAAGTTGTAGAAAACTGATAGTAATGCAAATGATTCTTGACCAGAAAAATACAAATGAATTTGTCTACTGGAGATGCAATTGGTTGTTGATCAGTGGACATTAACCAGTTTTGCATATATTAGAAAACTGATGTTAGCATTTGATTGTCTATGTGTGTGTGCGTTCTTTGAGATCTCCTTTGAACTGATTTAATAATCTTACTGGTCTTCTCATTAACAATCAACTAAAACATGTGATAGATATTAATTTTATGTTTCTATGGCAGTTGTGATATTTGCCTTTCTAAAAAATGTTCCTTTTTTTTTTTTTTTTTGACAGAGTTTTGCTCTTCTTGCCTAGGCTGGAGTGCAGTGGTGCGATCTCAGCTCACTGCAATCTCCGCCTCCCAGGTTCAAGCAATTCTCCTGACTCAGCCTCCCAAGTAGCTGGGATTACTGACACATGCCACCACACCTGGTTAATTTTTTGTATTTTTAGTAGAAATGGGGTTTCACCATGGTAGCCAGCCTGGTCTTGAACTCCTGACCTCAGGTGATCCATCTGCCTCGGCCTCCCAAAGTGCTGAGATTACAGGTATGAGCCACCACGCCCAGCCAAAATGTTGTTTTTCAGATTGTGCTCAGATCAACAGTCAGCAGGAGTATCTAGCTTGGGTATTTGAAGGCAGCCTACCTTGCCATAAAAGGCTGAGTTGTACAGTTGGGAGAAGTGAACCCTACACTCTGAAGTCATAGTTTCAGCAAAGATTCTCAGAAACAAGCAAAACTATCAAACATCAAAGGACCACTTCAGTTTCAACAACAGGTACGTCAACAGTAATAAGCACAGACCAAAAGCCATGCCAGCACTCTGCTCCGTGCAAGGCCTTCGGAACATGGAGGAGAGCCTGAGTATGGTGGAGGGAATGGGGGAGATGAGGTACCCCAGTTCTGTCTCAGATGGAATTTCTGCCTTCCAGGAGGGAGGAAGCTCAGTGTTGATTTTAATTTGAGTTGGTGGAATAGTATTCATAGCTGCTACATTGGCCTCTGGGAAGTCAATGGAAAAGATTTATTCTGTGGGTGAATTTACAGATTTTGAACGTCCCCCCAATGAAGGGTTGGGATCTTTTCAGCCTGACTTTATCACAGACTCTCTATCCTCATCTTGTTCTGTCCTTTTGACCATCCACATAGATTTTGTACCTTCTTTCCAATCCAATTGTTCTTTTATAAGGAGTAATAATAGAATCTGTATTCAGTCTTCAGGTGTTAATTTTTTTTTTTTTTTGAGACGGAGTCTCACTCTGTCACCAGGCTGAAGTGCAGTGGTGCAATCTCAGCTCACTGCAGCCTTCATCTCTCAGGTACAAGTGATTCTCCTGCCTCAGCCTCCCAAGCAACTGGGACTACAGGCACATGCCACCATGCCCAGCTAAGTATTTTTAGTAGAGTCATGGTTTCACCGTGTTGGCCAAGATGATCTTGATCTCTTGACCTCATGATCTGCCTGCCTGGGCCTTCCAAAGTGCTGGGATTACAGGCGTGAGCCACCGCACCCAGCCCCAGGTGCCGATTTAAGATGAAGCTGTTAGGCTGGGCATGGTGGCTCACGCCTATAATCCCAGCACTTTGGGAGACCGAGGTGGGTGGATCACAGGGTCAAAAGGTCGAGACCATTCTGGTCAACATGGTGAAACCCCATCTCTACTAAAAACAAAAATTAGCTGGGCATGGTGTCCCAGCTAACTCAGGAGGCTGAGGCAGGAGAATTGTTTAAACCAGGAGGCAGAGGTTGCGGTGAGCTGAGATCACGCCATTGCACTCCTCCATCTCAAAAAAAAAAAAAAAAGATGAAGCTGTTTGTCTTATTAACAAATCCTTTTGCAACCCTTTGTTGACTGCCCAAATTAGCAATAAACTACGAACTCAGGGCACAATGAACAATGACTTCAGGGTCCTTTAACTAAAGTATAACTTGATGTACTATGCCCTTCATCATACGCATGCAACTTGATAGTTCATGCTAAAGGAATTACAGTGTGTTCATCCATCTTAAAAACAGCTTTTTCTTGTACCATTTATTCTCACTAAGTTTGCACTTATTTACCTAAAGGAGATTACTTTTTTTTGAGTTAGTCTTGTTGCCCAGGCTGGAGTGCAATGGCACAATCTCGGCTCACCACAACCTCCGCCTCCTGGGTTCAAGCGATTCTCCTGCCTCACCCTCCCGAGTAGCTGGGATTACAGGCACATGCACCACCATGCCCAGCTAATTTTGTATTTTTAGTAGAGACGAGGTTTCTCCATGTTGGTCAGGCTGGTGCTGGTCTCGAACTCCCAACCTCAGGTGATCCGCCCAGCTCAGCCTCCCAAAGTGCTGGGATTACAGGCGTGAGTTACGGCACCTGGCCCAAGATGACTTTCATATCAAATGTGATCACTGTGCATTTTTTCCTACAGATGGAATATCATGACACTTCGTAAGACTTGCTTTGGCAACACGCCCATCCCTTCCCTTCATATCTACACGCCATTCCCTTCTCTCTCATAAAACAGCCTCTGTTGACTCTAAAAATTTCAACAATGACTTGAATGTCAAATTAGATATTTTTAATTGCACTGACATATAATTTCCACCTATATGCAAAAGCCTTAAGCATCCATTTGACCTTAACATGCCCTTCTACTATTTTCAAAAACTCTCATAAGTGTTACACAATGTCCTTTTTAGATCAGTGCCTTTCCCTCAATTGTTGGTTGGTTGTAAGGGAGGTGACTCGGTCCTTCATCGTGGGCTCTGTCAGCATCCTAGGATTTGGTATTCACGCTCACTGGCTGTAAGCGCTCTATAAGGTCCCCGGGTCACTTTTCATCAATAAGGCTCATAGTTGAAATCTATGAG